CGACTTCTCGACCCGGGACGTAGACAGACGTCCGGATAAGTGTGTGTAGAGGGATGCTCGACATGTTGGTCTTCGCCTTCTCTCCACCTGACTGATGGGAGGCTGGCAGAGTGGTGTGGATCCCTGCCATCCATGCGGTGGTTGTGTGATTTCGGTTCGATTACCGGTGTTGGTTGTGCATCCAACGCGTCGGAATCTGTATATTTGTTGTTGTTAATTCCCCGTTTTCTATGCGGATCCCGAGGAGGGCTAGGTGTGCCACGGGTCGTTTGTTCACGTGTCATTGCTTCACCTTTTTGTTGATTGATGCTTGTATATAGTGTAGAGTTGTACAGGTTGGTTATGGTTTTTATGGTTGCTTTCTTGTTCTCGTTTCTTTTCCTGTTGAGGCTCGCATATTTTTTTTTCTCTTTCTCCCTTTCGTTAATTTAAACTTTCTAATTATTGACAGCCGGGACGGCTGGAGGCTACGTAGAGGGGGGTAATGTAGTGACATAAGAAGGGAGGGGCTGCTGGGGGCTCTGGGATCCCAGGCGAGTCCAGACGCTTAAGCCTCTGGGCGCCAGGCGTTGAGTTCCCAGGCGCTTAATCCCCTGGGCGCCGTCAACGGGGGGGGGGGGGGGGGGGGGGGGGGCTGTGTGTGCTCTGTGGGATGTCTGGTGGCGCACACGGCCCCACCCCTCGTTGGACTAGGCATAAAAGGAGAGCTCCCTGGACGATCGGGGCCCAGTTGTAACTCAAGACCCAAGACCCACGACCAGCCATCTGAAGACCCTGGGATGTTGTGAGAGCCAGTGGTGGGACTCTGGAACTCCCGACTCTACGACCTTGTGAGGGCGAGCGTAGCCAGAGTAGAGTATCTAGAGTATCTAGGCTGTGTACCTAGGCTGTAACAGAGTATCAGGACTGTTGGAGTGTTGTATTGTAATAAAGAAGTTACATCTACAAGTGTCTCCGGAACCCGTTACACAGGGAACTGAGGGAGCTGATGGGGACCTTTGGGATGGTGGATACGTTCAGGAGGGTGCACGGCACGCGGCCAGAGTTCACGTGGGCGGACAAGAGTGGGGGAGCACAGTCACGCATTGACTTTATCTTCGTTTCCGACAAGGTAAACGTGGGCAGCGCGGGGGTGGAACCTTTCCCCCTCTCGGATCATAGAATGGTGGTGGCGGGGCTTGTGATCCCAGGGGGGGTGGAGAGGGGGAAGGGCGTGTGGAAGATGAATGTGGGCTTGCTGGCGGAGCAGGAGTTGGTGGAGGAATTCAAGCGAGCGTATGCCAGCTGGAGGACGCTGCAGGTGTGCTTCCCCACGAGGGTGGAGTGGTGGGGGCATGTAAAGTGTAGGATCAGAACGTTCTTTCAGTGTTACAGTAGAAGAAAGGGGGTGGGTGGGGATTTGAGACAATGGAACGCTAGGTTAGAAAGGTTGTATGGGCTGCTAGAGCTAGGGTTCCCGGTGGAAGAAAGGATAGCGGAGATGAAGGGGAGGGTAGCCTCAGTCCTGGAAAAGAGGGCTAGGCAATTAGTGTATAGGGCGAGGGTCAGGGCAACAGAGGATAGGGAGCAGTGTACACGATTTTTCCTTAAGGCGGGTAGGGAGGGAGACAATGAAATGAGGGAGCTGGTTAGTCCTACTAGGGGTAGACAGGTGACGACGGAAGGGATGATTAGTGTAGCGGAGGACTTTTATGGGGAGCTGTATAAAGGGAAAGGGATAGATGGGGGGCGGCGGGAGGAGCTGCTGGGAGCATTGGGGAAGAGGGTTGAGAACCCGGAGGCGCTAGGGGAGAGGATACAATGGGAGGAAGTGGAAGGGGCGGTGAAGGGGCTGAACAAGAACAGGACCCCAGGCCCGGACGGGATCCCGGCGGACTTTTACATAAAATTCTGGGAACTCCTGAAGGAGGATGTTGTGCAAATTTGTAGGGAAACGTTGGAGGAGGGGCAGGTACCGGACGACATGCAGGAGGGCCTGGTGACGCTGATTTATAAAGGGAAGGGGGAGCGTAGGGACCTGGGAAGTTGGAGGCCAATAACCCTCCTGAACGCGGACTATAAGATCGTGGCAAGGGTGGTGGCGGGGCGACTGGGGAAGGTGGTGGGTGAGGTGGTGGGGCCGGACCAGACGTGTGCGGTCCCGGGGAGGAGGATCGCGGACACTTTGGTGGTCTTGAGGGAGGCGATTGAAGGCGAGAGAGAGAGGGGGTGCCCGTTGAGGATCTTAAGTCTGGACCTGGACAAGGCCTTCGACCGCCTCTCTCATGAATTCATGCTGGCGGTGATGGAGAGGATGGGGGTGTGCGGGCCCCTGGTGGAGTGGGTGAAGCGACTCTATGGGGGGCTCAGGGCCAGGCTCCTGATAAATGGGGAATGCTCCGGGATCATCCCAGTGGAATCGGGGGTGCGGCAGGGATGCCCGATGTCCCCAGTGCTATTTGTCATGTGCATGGAGCCGCTGGCGCAGATGATAAGGAATGACCAGAGGATTGGGGGGGTGGTAATACCGGGGAGCAAGGAGCGGGGAAAGGTGACCCTGTACATGGACGACGTGGCCGTGCTATGCAGGGACGTGGCATCGGTATGGAGGGCAATGGAGGGGATGGGGAGGTTCTGCGCGGCCTCCGGATTGAAGGTCAGTGTGGGGAAAAGTCAGCTTATGGTTTTTGGAGACCCGAGGCTTTTCGAGGGTCGGAGCTGAGTCTACAAACAGAGGGGATAAAGATATTGGGGGTGTTTTTCTGTGGGGATAGGATGGGGGAAGGTAACTGGGAGAAGGGGGTGAGGAAGGCAAAGGGCTGCCTGGGTAAGTGGGCTGGGAGGCGGCTCACGATGGCCGGTAGAATTATGGTGGTTAAAACAGAAATATTACCATCCCTAAACTACTTGGCGCAGGTGTTCCCGCCAGGTGGGAGGGAGGTTAAGGCCTTGACCACGGCGATTTTCAGGTTTATCTGGGGGGGAGGGATGGAGAGGGTGAGGAGGGCCGTGATGTGTCTGCAGGTCCAGAATGGGGGGAGGGGTGCCCCAAACGTGGGGTATACCCTGCAATCGACCTTTGTCTGCAATGCGCTGCGGCTGTTCTTCTCTGCAGAGCCGCGGGGCAAGGCAGCGTGGTATATGAGGTACCGACTGACGTGGCGGTTGCGGGGGCTCGGGATGACTGAGGCAGGAAGGAGCACCCCTATGGACTGGCCGGGGGACTGGGTTAGCGACGTGGTGGGGAGCTACGTCGGGCAGCACGGCCTGAGCCGGTGGGGGGGTCGGTGGGCCCCCAGGGAGGTGCGGGCTGCGGCGGAGAAGGAGGAGGCCTGTGACGAGGTGGCCGGTGCGAGGAGGGAGACGCACGGGAAGATTTGGACGAATGTGGCGTCGGCAGTGCTCACGAAGGAGCAGCGGGATCTGTCATGGCTGGCTGTCCGAGACAGGTTGGAGACGCGGGGTTTCTTGTACAGCCGCCAAATGGCACATACCCCCAAGTGCCCGAGGGGCTGCAACGCGGATGAAACTGCGGCGCATGTGATGGTGGCGTACCCTTTCGCCCAGGAAGTCTGGAGGAGGAGTAAGCCGTTGCTGGCCCGTTTCGCTCTATCAAGGGTGACGGCACGGGACGTCATGTGGGGAGAGCTGCGGGGGGTGGGGAGGGAGGACAGGGACCGGGTGTGGGCTGTAATAGGAGCGACGAAAGAGGCGCTGTGGAAAGCGCGAAAGAAGGGGCTGGAGGGGTCCCGGACGTCCCCGTTGGAGACATGTTATGCTGCGAGGAGACTGTTGGAAAGGGTGGTAGAGATGGACCAAGGGAAAATGGGGCGCGAGGCCGCAAGGGAACGATGGAAGTGGCCGCTGCCCAGGGTGGGCTAGGGCGGGGGGGGGGGGGGGGGGTGGGGAGGACCTCGCCGGCAACCGGGGGTGAAGGTGTGCGTGGCTGGAAGGGGAGGCTTCCTCTCCGATGCTGTGGCACGGGTGATCCCGGCCCAGAGGATGGGTCGGTGACTGAGCGGGACCTTTAGGGCGCGAGTGAGGGGGCGCCCCCTCGGGTTTCGGTTTGTTTTTCGGTTTGTTGTCACCGCCGAGATACTGAATAAAATTTTAAAAACCGTAATTTCCAGCGAAACGTCCTACTACTCAAATTATAACTGTTGTGGATCCACTCTTCAACACATCGGTGGGCTAAAGTAGTGAACTATTTGTCTTTTGTCAACGTGACACATTTTTTACTGATTGGCCATGTCGGATGGTGGAGGGTTGTGACACCTTTATAAATAACGCGATGTAACCCTAAAACCTTTATTATGGGACACGTGTGCAGGATGGGGGAAGAGCATATTGCCCAGACAGGCGTTGGAATGGTTGCCACGAGTCCGTTGACCAAGGCGGAGCAAGGCCTAAGAGCATGCGGTGGGATACTGTTAGGGCAGACCTTTGAGGTCACATGTTGACTGTGCAGTAGCTGCGGAATTATTGCGAGGTATGGTGGCATAAATGGCTTTGCCTACGATGACATCTTCATCTTGATGGATGATCCCTGCAACTGGGCATCTCACTCATGCTGCGCCCTCCGCCCCAGGGGCAGTCCATAAATGACGTCACGCAATTTTGGACGATTTTTGACCCCCCCCCCCTCGTCACACGGCGTCACAAAAAGTCAGACCCTCCTCAAATATGACGTCACAAAGCTCTGCCGCCCCCCCAAAACCACATTTCCATTTTGAAAATAAAACATGCTTCAAATCGCTCTAAACTATTGTAATTGTAGTGCGTATTTAATGTGGTGCTGCACTCTGATGTTGTAGGAGTGTTGTTATAACAATTACGGTAGTGTTGTTATAGCAATTCTATATTGATTTAAAGTTGCGCATTTTGATGTGACGTCACATTTCTCAAACCCCCCCCCCCTCGTCACACATCTTCACAAATGTCTGACCCCCCCCAGGTGCGTGACGTCATTTATGGGCGGCCCCTCACCCCCGCCCCGCCCCATCTCACTGCGTCTCCATCACCTGCACGTCCTTGAGCTTCTCCTCGTGCAGCTTCGCCTTCAGCTCAGTGTGCAGTGCCGCGTGCCGTTTCTGCTCCTGGTCGCGGGCATACCGAACCTCCTGCACCTTCTCCCTCTCCAAGCGTGACACCTGCCACAATTCGATTTCCTCAATGGACATCTGCGCGACTCTTTACAAAGACCACTTACAGTGAGGGAAAAAAGTATTTGATCCCCTGCTGATTTTGTACGTTTGCCCACTGACAAAGAAATGATCAGTCTATAATTTTAATGGTAGGTTTATTTGAACAGTGAGAGCCAGAATAACAACAAAAAAATCCAGAAAAACGCATGTCAAAAATGTTATAAATTGATTTGCATTTTAATGAGGGAAATAAGTATTTGACCCCCTCTCAATCAGAAAGATGTCTGGCTCCCAGGTGTCTTTTATACAGGTAACGAGCTGAGATCAGGAGCACACTCTTAAAGGGAGTGTGCCTAATCTCAGCTTGTTACCTGTATAAAAGACACCTGTTCACAGAAGCAATCAATCAATCAGATTCCAAACTCTGCACCATGGCCAAGACCAAAGAGCTCTCCAAGGATGTCAGGGACAAGATTGTAGACCTACACAAGGCTGGAATGGGCTACAAGACCATCGCCAAGCAGCTTGGTGAGAAGGTGACAACAATTGGTGCGATTATTCGCAAATGGAAGAAACACAAAAGAACTGTCAATCTCCTTCGGCCTGGGGCTCCATTCAAGATCTCACCTCGTGGAGTTGCAATGATCATGAGAACGGTGAGGAATCAGCCCAGAACTACACGGGAGGATCTTGTCAATGATCTCAAGGCAGCTGGGACCATAGTCACCAAGAAAACAGTTGGTAACACGCTACGCCGTGAAGGACTGAAATCCTGCAGCACCCGCAAGGTCCCCCTGCTCAAGAAACCACATATACATGCCCGTCTGAAGTTTGCCAATGAACATCTGAATGATTCAGAGGACAACTGGGTGAAAGTGTTGTGGTCAGATGAGACCAAAATGGAGCTCTTTGGCATCAACTCAACTCGCCGTGTTTGGAGGAGGAGGAATGCTGCCTATGACCACAAGAACACCATCCCCACCGTCAAACATGGAGGTGGAAACATTATGCTTTGGGGGTGCTTTTCTGCTAAGGGGACAGGACAACTTCACCGCATCAAAGGGACGATGGACGGGGCCATGTACCGTCAAATTTTGGGTGAGAACCTCCTTCCTTCAGCCAGGGCATTTAAAATGGGTCGTGGATGGGTATTCCAGCATGACAATGACCCAAAACACACGGCCAAGGCAACAAAGGAGTGGCTCAAGAAGAAGCACATTAAGGTCCTGGAGCGGCCTAGCCAGTCTCCAGACCTTAATCCCATAGAAAATCTGTGGAGGGAGCTGAAGGTTCGAGTTGCCAAACGTCAGCCTCGAAACCTTAATGACTTGGCGAAGATCTGCAAAGAGGAGTGGGACCTGGTGGCCAACTACAAGAAACGTCTGACCTCTGATTGCCAACAAGGGTTTTGCCACCAAGTACTAAGTCATGTTTTGCAGAGGGGTCAAATACTTATTTCCCTCATTAAAATGCAAATCAATTTATAACATTTTTGACATGCGTTTTTCTGGATTTTGTTGTTCTTCTGTCTCTCACTGTTCAAAAAAACCTACCATTAAAATTATAGACTGATCATTTCTTTGTCAGTGGGCAAACGTACAAAATCAGCAGGGGGTCAAATACTTTTTCCCTCACTGTATGTACAATCAGTTATGTACAATCGGCGAGCACCCGCCTGTAAAGCCGTGTGTGTCCGTGCGTGTGTGTCCATGCGTGTGTGAGCGTGCGTGGGAGCAACTCCCACCTTCCCCTTTTCCTGCTGTAGCTCGATCTGAATGTCGGTAAGCTTTGCCCGCAGGTCCTCGTTGGCGGCCTGCAGCGAGTCGATGAGCGCCTCGGGGGTGCCGCACTCTCCCCCCTTGGATCCCCGCCCCCCCCCCAAAAGTGGAGTGGGAGGCTCCCCTTTGGAGCGGCCTCCCTGACCGCCCCCCTCTCCCTTTATACCTCCGGCGGCCCCCCCACCTCCACCGACCCGGGACAAACCCCGGCGCGGCAGCATGGTCTCTCGTCTCTCGTCACCACGCACGACCCATGAGCTCCCCTGACAGCCGCTTGCCTACTCCAGTCACTGTCCTTCTTCACCCGGGGACGAAACGACTTTCACCTGCGGGCACAGAAGGCAACAAATAAATTACTGCAGAGCATGGTGCGGCTGTTCGTCTGGTACCTGCAGTCTCCTTGATTCAAGCGAGGATCTGTGTTGCTCACCAGCCTTTCCCCCCCCTGAAAGCCACTCTCTCCTCTCCTAGTCCTTGAGGGTGTCCCGGTGGCGAGATGTTAACTACCTTGCTTGGTATATAAGAGGTCGTGGGTTCGATCCCGACCCTGACGCCTGTATATTTGGAGTTTGCATGTCACTGTCCTCGTGGTCGCGTGCCTCTTTCTCCGGGTCCTCCGGTTTTCCCTCCGCATTTAGATTCACCATCACGCGTTTAGAGTATTTGGCTGCTATCAATTTCCACATGATAAGCCACTTCGTTAAGCTATCATTTGTGGCCAGGTCGCTTCTGAAATAGTGGGCCTTACCATTACTGGTTGGGTGTTGACGGTTGTGTTGGCCGACTCTCTGGTTGTATTGCATTGTATTTCTGAGTTTACTATGTTTGTTTTTCTCATTCATCCGTACCCGATGATGGTTGCTTGTGTTGCAATCGAAACGTCGTATTATATTATTATTTAATTTATTTTCTTTCTACGTGACTTTACCGAAAGAACCAGAGTAATTCCTGCAGTCACGAAAGCTTTTAATCTAGTTTAAATCACTTTTATTTTAAGGTTTTGCTACGCAAGCCCTTTGCTCTGGACTGCATGTCCAGCGCCCTGGTGTCCTCCATCACAAGGCAACCCACTTCATTGGGCCTCGTATAAATCACAGAGCCACTGCCTCATACGGGCACATTTAATTATCTAATTGAGATGCAATTCGTTTCAAACGCCAAGTGAAACTTGCCCCATCTTCCTCAATGGCACTTAAATAGATGGTGACGAGGGCGACACGGCACGGTCACCCCCCCCCCTCGAATCCAATCTCCCCCCCCCCCGTGCACGCCTGAGGCTGGCACAAAGGGAACACTGTAACCCGCATGCATGGTATTGAACGCCATCACCGCATCGATTCCGTTTCCATCACGTTATAAGTCACAAGTGGAGTTGCAAATGAATTCAGATACAGCACTTAGTAGTTTTTTTTTAAGACGTAACAATTTCACCTAAAAAATACATTGAGATGGGATCATCCCTTTAGACGCAAGCTTTAACAGCAATGGAGTTCGAGCAAAGCCTTTACTGGTGCTACATCGTCTTCTGACGTGGTATGATCACCGATTCACGTAAGTCATTTGGCTACATGAGGACCACTGTTTTTCCCCACAACATGGTATGCATGCTATCGATCCCAGAGGGATGATGGTCACGAGTCAACCCCCAACCAGGATATGAACTCGCAAACCTTCCGATTGCGAGCTGCTCGGTCTGCTGCTGAGCCGCCAGGCTGGCTAATCTATACATGGTTAAGCCATGGACGACATTGTCGTCCATGGCTTAACTTCTGTGCGGGGCTGAGCTCCGGGAAAATACTATTTACCCGGGCAGTGGAGAGCAGCAACGGCGGGGGCAAATGGGGAAAATATAAAAAAGCCCCCCCCCACAACGGGGCCTGGTGTGTGTCGGGGATGAATATGAGGTCCCTCTACGAGTCTACGGTATTCTGCCTATTGGCTTCCGGAAGCCTCTGGGCGGCCCTGACCGTAATCCACGGGGGTGGAGGGTGGGGGGCAAAAGGGGAAATTTGTTGTAGTTTATATATCATGCAGTCCGTGCTCAAGGACGATGACCTCTCTTGTACGGAGAGTCTGCGTTCCTTAGGCATCTTATACGGTTGTTTATGAGTTCACTTGTGACGAGCAAGACCAGCATTTAAACGACACCCCCCTTCGCATAGATCACACACAGTGGGATGCGGGTAACTCCTGAGATCCAGATTCACCAGTCAACACTGCAATCACCACTTCTGACCCGAGTCTCCTGGCATGTTGTTTCTCAGTGTGTTCAATGCGCTGTATATCAAGCAATATGAGCAGTTTTGAGCCAAGTCTGTGTGCCATTGCTTTCTGTACTTAGCGATATATTCCCATTAATCTACAGGAGTTGCACATCTCAAATTTAAGCGAAGTACATCCTTACAGCGCAAGCTCTGCCCTTTACGGGCCTCCAATTAGGCACGGTTGGCTACGCACGGTGCGAAAGAAGTTCAAGATATAGTTTACGATACCCGTAAGTCAACTACAACCGTAGTCTGTGCTACAACTGCCATGTCTAACCCTCGCTGGCGATTTAGGGGAATTGTCTTTCAATTAGGGCACCGAGATAATCTCACGCCACCCACTGGCCACTCTCACGCATTGCCCATCCAACACCCACAGAGCTCAAGCTGAGTCTCCGTTGATGACGGGCCCCGGGGTCTGGCGCTGTCCAGCACTTTTGAGAGCCTAGCCCCAGCGATGAGCGTGTGGGCGGCCCCTCACTCTCTGTGACCGTGACAATTAATACATCCCCACGGTTGGATGCTGCCCATTGATGGAGTTGTTGTTGGTGTTGTTGTTTAAACGTTAATGCCGATTGGGGGTCTCTGATAAAACGCGAAACTGTAAAAGCGTTATCCTCGGTTTCCCCCCTTCCACTTACGAGGAGATGGAAGAAAATACGAGATATATAGCTTACTCTGTGCACGTGATTGTCACGGTGTTTTATTTTGCACTACAATTTAAAATCTAACCCTGTCAAAAAGAATACCCAGATATCTTAGCGGAGCTTAATTTTTAAAATTTGGAACTCATGCGCAAATAGTGGCTCCAAATTTTGCGATAGGCGGCCCAATGAAACTAAATTGTGCCGATTACACAGTACATAGCGAATCTTGAACGAATACAGTTAATTTCACCTTAGGGTTAAAATCAAACAAAGAAGGCAGTCTGGGGTAGGCACGGCGCACAATGGTGGCAATGCGGCGAGGCCCTCAAGGGGGCCTTAGAAGCTACCCGCCCGAGCCATCAGGGCCGCCACTGTACCCTGGGGCGAGACAGTAGGGGCACAGCCATCCAATGATTGAAAACGTGGATGTGCGTTGTGACATAGGTGACGGTGCCAGGCAGAAACAACGATAGGAGAACACACACAACCACACCTACTACACTAACTACACACATGTATGCACTGACACGCATACTTGCACACACCGACACAAGAATACACACAATATATGCGTACACACCAATAAACACACTGACATATACAGTACATACACACCAAAAGACACACACATACCCACACGCACACACACCCGCACACACAGAGACATATATACACACGACCGACACACAGACACACCCCAACACATACACTGACATGCAAATATACACCAATGCCCGTGCACACACACACATTGACACATTCGCGCCGGCACTGTGCGACATTGATGGTGTTCGCGTATCGTGAACCTGCGTCAGCGAGGCGATCTCTGCAAAACACAAAGGGACACGGCCCCTTTTCCTATTGCAACACCCAACATGGTCAAACGATGCAGCTTAGTGACATTCATGCCCCAGTGCTATGAATTCACCCTTACCGATTTATCGTGCCTCAACAACAGGAGCACGAGCCCAGATCATTCACCTTGAACGTGCCGAAAATATGATCCGTCCTGAATGTATGCCTTCGAAAAAAATCCCATTCTTTAAAAATCCTATGTTGCTAGCATCAATATATGAACAATGCATGGGGTGCGTTTCCCATCCTTATTCCAATCTGACATGAACCTAGCCAGATCTTTGTGCAATGGTTATTTATCCTGGAACCCAAGCCCAGGCTGTGAGGATGGAGAGTCGATGCACATAACAGACGCAGTGCACATCTGAGCAGCACACAACCGGGCTCATGGCCGCCTCCCCTCCCACCAACCCTCCCACAGCCAAGAGAAAAGATTCAGTGGATGAACAAAGGACACTGCCGTGGGATGCTTTTCCTCCCAATCAGCACCCTCGCAATCCTGCTTACCGCACAATCGCCATCGTTTCTCATCCACAAAGAATTCTTGTTGGCAAGCAGTAATCCATGGCGGGAGTGGCAGGAGCCAGCAGTGTGCCACAGCACAGTGATGTGAGTCAGCCCACTTCCTCCTCCTCTTGCCTCCTCCACTCTCCACCCACTCCGTCCTCCTCCTCAGCCTTAAATGCTGTCCCTCATGGTCTCACTATTGATCTTGCATATGCCATCTCTCTAGGGATCGTACGCGTGCAGGCTATCGCCCACTGGACTGCAAGGGTGGATGTGCATGTGCATATCCTGCGTGTGCTGAGTGTGGCTTGCCTGTGTGCAGCATTCACTGGCTGGAGTGACCAGGCACGCAAGGGGTTAACATGTGACGTGGTAGAGAGATGTGCTGCACCCCCCCCCCCCCCAGAATTCCATATTTGCTTGCGATGCCTGCAAATTCACGAGAACACATTGCTATGCTTATACCCCGTCTTCAAGTCTTTTTCTTCATGACTCCTGTGTGTTCCACCCAACATTGATATAGACTGTATAGTAAATGGCGTACATCATTGTACATGGCCGAAGTAAATTGGAATGTTTATTCTTCTAAAACTATTTAGTTTAAATACGGATATCAGGTACCACAATTTAAGAACATTAAGTTACATTTCTTTTATATCAATATAGAAATACAGTAAAGTATGTAATCACCATTTTATGTATGTGGATACATAATCTGCTTGTTTATTTTGTCGTATAGTGTTTTTCTACAGGCTGTGGACAGGTGAATCAGTTATAACAGTGCACGTGCTCATGCTACTATTGAAGAAATGAGACTACTGTATCTTAGTCTCTTAAGTTCACACCTGCTTAAACAATAAACTAATGCAGAGTATCTTCAATAAGAGGCATGTACTTGCTGCTGTCGAGCTATCACTCCACCTACATGATCTTGGAACAATGGGCAAGGCTGCAGTGGAATTTGGTTAGACGCAGCTGCTGCCTGGAGCACACATCCACACATCACCATGCTTCATCTTGTGGGAATCAGGGCCCCGATTCGAAGTTGCCAGGCTCCGAATTCACAGGGCCGATCTGTGGAGAAGGGGAATGTAGGCATTGCCACCGTCAGTGCTACTAAATTACAAACGGCATATTCATGTCCATTTCTCCTGATATTAGACGTGGAAGGCTGGGGAGCCCTAAAGGTTGGGGACCAGGGAAATTAATTGTGGGTAAGAAGAGGCATCCGGGCTTTTGGAGGCAATGGTCATTGAACCATCAGCCTGAGACCCAACTCCTTTTGGCCACATTGCTCTTTATTTTGTATATGTAAAACACCACTTTTTCCATTTGCAGTATATTATACACACGGTGTACGAGCATTGCGCACAAATTATTATTGATATGCATTAAGTATTTGTTTTAATTAAAAACAAGAACATTCGTTTTTTTTCAATCTGCAAGTCTAATTATTCTGGATAATTATCAGCTTCAAATGAAACACGGGGCTAATGTTTAATGTTCAAATTGACAAAGAAATTAATAATAAATTAATAATGTAACATGTGTTTATCCACACGTGCAAGTTATAAAGTAAATTTGCTGGACAAGCAATTTTACTGGTTGGAGCCATATTGAGCAACAGGACAGAGAGAATGGGGCTGATGCTGTGGAAGCAAAACATGGTTAATCAAATTCTGTTCACTGTCTCTCCTCGCGACAGTGGCAGGCTGAGTGGTGCTGGAACCATCACTGTAAGACTTTGAGGAACTGTGTTCCAGTCCTGGTGCTGTGGCATTCCTCTCTCCTGGGAATGGGTAAACGCAAAAACAGTCACAGTAGGTCAAGCCGATCCATCTTGAGACATATACACCCACCCAAATACATCCGTGTACCAAACGAAACTCGCACGAATGTGGCACACTGGCATTTCCTAAACTATGTTGAGAACGATTACAATGCGTTTGTTCTGCCGATTGTGATGTGCGGACAAAGCCACAGTCAGTGATACAATGGGAGGTGCAAGTGTAGCAGCTCCAAACCCGGTGGCACGAGTTCGATTCCTGCTCACGGCCAACAATAATGACGAATATCTGAACCGGTCGCGGGCCTCCCCTAGGTAGACTCCGCCTCAAAGGAGTACTTGGTGCATTGTGTAAACATTGCCACTGGGAAGACAAAGGCGGTCGGGCATGGTGCTGGCCACCCACCCTCTCGTGTGCCGTGCCGGCCTTCATATAGGTGCTTGCTAACAGCACTTTCCCCAACAGTCTGTTCAGGCTATATGGGGGGATCTTTGTCATCTTTTGTGCAAGTGAAGGTTGCGTGCGGGCGCGTACGGCTTGAACGGGAGCACACGTTGGGAAGAGTGAGGGAATGCATCGCAGGGTATGCAGCCGGGCGGTCAACAGAATGCGGCGATCCCGCTCATCCTCCACCAACCTGTGCAAGCATGCTTGGCGCACCTTCACAAGGACCGGCAGGCAGATGTCACCATCACGCTCGGGCGTGTCACCTGCACACGAAGTTAAGCTGAACCTTGAATGCAAATCACCTGTCCACAAGAGGTTTAAACATTTTCTTGCTGTGGTTTTCCCACCTGATGATGATTGCGTGTGTTGCGATCGAAACGTCGTGATTTTATTTATTTTATTTTATACCTACGTGACTTTATCGAAAGAACCAAGGAGTATGGATCCCTGCAGTCACGAAAACTTCAAATCTAGATTTATTTGGGTTAGATCGCGTAAATATAAATGAGTCGTTAAACCGTCACCACCAACCTGACACAGCCAATTAGTAATGTTTGTCACGAAACAAAACGTATCAATTAGTTACTAGTTAAGCACACCTGTGTGTTTGAGAGTAAACCCACATTATTTACAATTCGAGTATGATGTTTCGCAGTTTGTTTTGTTTACGTAACAAACCTTACTAGTTAGCTGTGTCTGGTTGTGGTGGATTTAACGACACATTTATATTTACACGATCTAATCCAGAAACCTCTATTATGGTTAATATAGGTCGCGAAAGCCTATATGTTGAACACATCACCTGTGAAATTTTTATTTAAAGCTTTCGTGACTGCAGGGATTCATATTCTTGGTTCTTTCGGTAAAGTCACGTAGAAGGGAAATAATAAAATAATAAAAATATAAAACAATACAGTGAGAATATGTATTGTTTTATATTTTTGTTATTTTATTATTTCCCTTCTACGTGACTTTACCGAAAGAGCCAATAATATAAATCACCTGTGATTGCAAAGTGCTTTTGCAACTCACGTATTTTTCCACCTCAGACTAAGATTTAGTGTGAATAAGAATGTGACTGCAATGCTGTCTTTAATTGACTTACACTCTTACAGGCATGGACAGTGTGCTCGTGGTGTCCTCTGGGGCTGGATTTATAGAATCATTGGAGGATAGAAATGCATTTTCAGTGCCTGGCAGGGAAATGTTCGATTTTCAATAACAATTTAGGATCTTTTTGGAATTCAGTGTTCACATAATTGACATTATGTAATACCTAAACATGTCTTCTCTGAGGTGATGATGCCTGATGCCATGCAACACCACTTTTGATGGGAAAAAAGTGCATGAGTGATGCAATGTGCGACCTCATTTCTTGTTATACTTTAGGATTAGTCCGAAACATTATTTTTTATCATTTGAAATGTCATATCTATGTCTGAATTTAAGTTAATCTTAACAACAAACGTGCATTTTTTCGTGCCTAGGGAAGAGTTTTGGATGTATATCTTTTGGATTTTCTTGAAAAAGGGTCCTTAGATTACTAGGGAAATAGGTAGTTAGAAACAGTACATATAATTGTGTGTATTATTTGCTACTGCTGAGGTGAAGCCCGGCTGAGTGATGCATTACCTGCATTTGCTGCAGCTCTCCTTGGTGGGCATCCTGCTCCTTGCACGTCCTCTGCATTGCTTCCCTCAGTTGTGAAACCTCCAAGGCGCGCACTGCTTACACCACGCACGCACAACAGGTAGAGCCTACACACAGGTACAGGATTGCAAGGGGCTTGAGGCAGATGGGAAGATCTGCGAGAGCTATGGCTTGTGGGGTGTTGAGGGCGCCCATCACCTGGTTGGCCGGGCTATGGTCAACACGACAAGTGGATTACTTTCAATCTTTACAGGAATTGTTACCCCCTTCACTTGCAATGGGTTTCTCCGAGTACTTTGCTTTCCTTCCACACGTATGAACACTCATTAATGGAGTTGGCCAAACACAATATATAAGGCTTAGACAAATTTCGGTCCCGGTTCTGCATTCCCACCTTACCTGTGCTTCCCGCGGCTCTAAATCTTGTGTAAACTGCACACGTTACACATTTTGAACGGTTTTAAATTACGTAAGGTGTCCGCTATAAGGCACTTGCTTTCGAAGCACAGAGTTGCGCTTGAACATCCGGCATGTAAATTCATTGGTTCGAATCTATTTGTATCACCATACATTCAGTGAATCGTGATTGTAAGAATAAATAATTGATGAGTTACGTAAAAACATGCAAAATATTGACTGCCATTTTTAAGCTAATGGCATGAACGAAAGAGACAATACTGTACAAGGTGTATAAGAAAAAAATATATGGATGCTAATGTTAACCCAAAATCATGAAAATTGGGTGAGGCAATGAATCATAACATGATTAATATGAACATACACAATTATAAATGTTTAAAACTTGATCACACGTGATTTTGTAAACTTGATGTAATGTATGATGTAAGGTTTACGTGTTACAGTTTAACAGGCTATGTGTGGGAGTATGCACTGTGCAGTATGTTAAGACATGGTGACGTGGCCCAGTGGTAGCTTGTTCCAATAATATGTGGTTTAAATCCAACAGGTCGCCCTCTTTAATACTGCTATATTAACCATGCAATACACACCGTCTATACACAGTGGACATTAAAGAAGAGTAGGCCTTTGTATGACAGTGTCAATTTCTAAATTAGAAAGAAATACTCGCAAATTATTTAATTGGGAAATATGGCAAGCATTGCCCCCTACTGCAAAAACCTGGCAAGACCTTCCTGAAAAAGTCTTGGAACTCAGCGAGGCTTTTTTTGGTAAACAAGCGTAGATATAATGATAATAATAATAAAGATGCGTTTTGTGAAGTGCATATGTGGTGTGCAAAGGGTAGTGCTGTATGCTGGGCTTACTTCTAGATTTTTGCCTGCAGGAGGGGCAGGTTGAGAGATGAGTAAAGGTCAGATCTGGGGGGGGGGGGCTGCTCTGGGAGCCTGTGCTCCTGTACAGAACTCTCTTCTTCTTCTTCTTCTCGGCTATCCCCTCACAGTT